CACGGTGACGGTGACCAGAGGCGATGAGGTCATCAGCAGCGGGAGCCTGGATACCCCCCGGGATTCCATCATCGGTAAGAGAAACTGCCACCGCTGTGGTGCCAACTTGACATCTGCACTGAGGCCGCCGCCCTCTAGTGCCCAGAATGTAGAAGACACTGGAGTAGGGATGGACATACTACAAGTAAGTCCCAGAATGCTCGCTGCCCTTTACATGCAGCAGGGCATGATGGTACTGGTAGTTCCACACCAGCTGGGCACATCGTATTTCACCGGCCCGTAGGCATAGAATTTTCGGGACGGTGATCATCAGACCCCCGGGATTATTTGAATGATTGGGGATTATATCGACTTTAGCCTAAAATGGTTGATGGAAGGGAAGGGTTGGTTGGACACGGCAGACATTGTTGATGGAAGGGAAGGGTTGGCTGGACACGGCAGACATTGTTGATGGAAGTGAAGGTTTGGTTGGACACGGCAGACATTGTTGATGGAAGTGAAGGTTTGGTTGGACACGGCAGACATTGTTGATGGAAGGGAAGGGTTGGCTGGACACGGCAGACATTGTTGATGGAAGGGAAGGGTTGGCTGGACACGGCAGACATTGTTGATGGAAGGGAAGGGTTGGTTGGACACGGCAGACGTTGTTAATGGAAGGGGGAGGGGTTGGCTGGACACGGCAGACATTGTTGATGGAAGTGAAGGTTTGGCTGGACACAGCAGACATTGTGGAAGGTCTCCGCTGCTGTGGGATCTTCTCCATCCCGGCCTGTGAACAGGAAGCTGCAGATATAAAGTCAGCTTGTACTTCTTATTGTTTTCTTCATCTCTGTATCTCTGACTTTCCTCCTTCAGATTCCCCAAACTCCATGCAGCCCCACCAGCCGTCCCTCTCGGATCTAACAGACACGCAGACTATCCTGAGCCGCATCCTGCACAGATGGTTCTCCAACCGATGACACCACCTCTGCCACCGCCTGACATCAGCCGCTGCACCTTCCAGAGACTTGTGACTCTTCCAGAGACTCTTCTAGAAGAACTGGATATAAAACAATCTCGGCATTTTAGAGAGCTCAGAACTTTATGTTCCCATGCCTGTAAATGACGGGGTCTTGTATATAAAGTTTTAGCTTCTCCCCCTGTGGCCTTTCTATAGCCTGGATGACATATGACACCTCCACCTATAATGTAATACCCCCCCCCCCGCGCCCCCAAACTTATTCCTCTGAAC